AACTAATTATTACTAACAAAGTCTTTTTTACTGACAATAAAATATATCTTTTTTGATGCTATACTTTTTCTGCTTAAAATTAGTATGTAAAAGTATTTTTCAAAATTAAAGAAATGTCAGAAAAGTTCATCAATTTGACCTGACTTGACCTGACCTGACCTGACCCAGTCATGATAATGAAGTTAACTTTCAACTATTTTTTGTCTACTTTTTTAGAAAAAAATCAGTAATTTGATGAGAGATTAAAAATAAGTGAGCTATTCGTCTCAAGCAAGTTTTACAAGCTAAAAATTAAAAAATCAAAATGAATGTGCCTAGATATTGTGTAGTGCCAACGACACAATAGGCAAACGAACACTTTTGACCTTGTTGAAAGGTTATTTAGTGGAATATATCGAAAAGGACGAGTATTTTTTTGTCTAATTTAAAAGAAGTAAACTTAACAAATACACTAATAATTGTGTTTTACATATAAGTAAACAAATATACTTTTATGGTGTAATATAGAAATTTGAGAGGTCACTTTAGTCTTAAATGACTTAATAGACAACTTTTTTACGTTTGATTTTTCAAGGATTTAGTCCACAGATTACTTTTGATTACAAAAATATGAATAGATTTTGACACGAATTTTCTTCACAATATCGACTATTATAAAAAAATACGTGAGTTTGAAGAATAAGACACGTAAGTGAAATTTATAATGAATAATTTGATCGGAGTTAATTGCTTCATCAAAACATTTTCAAATTTTTTTTGGTCCAGTAGCGTAAATCATTTTAATTAGTATCGTTAATAATAGCAGAAATAATATTACGATTAATTTTTAGCAACGCTTCAAAAAATACTTTGCAAATAAATTTTTTGGTTTGGTATAAAAATTTGAAATTATTTTAAATGCATTAATAAATATGCGCATTGATGAGATTTAAGTTAGCAAAAAAGTGAGCACATAATTTACTACTTTTTTAAATGGAAACGAGCCAAAATTTTGTTCACGTACTAATTAGAAAAGATAAAATAGAAAGTTATTATTAAAAGTAATTGCAACAAATTCAAAATATAATAATTCTTGAAATAGTTTTTTATAGTTAGTTTTTTGAAATGATTCAGTAATCAGAATTTGAATAAAAAGCAGAGAGAATTTTTAACAAATTAATTTGAAATAAATTTTATACAAAATAAAAATTTCGAAGCGTTTTAAAATTTGAAATAATAACTACTGTAAAAGGCTGAAATCAATTTTGCTCTAATAACGCAAGTTCAAAAGTTAAAAAAATTTTTAAAATTTCTGAAAAAATTGCAAACTTACCAAGCAAAATTTTAACAAAGCTGATAATAAGAGTATGAATTAATTTATTTTTAAGCTGAATTTAGTTGGAAACAATTATATCATTATAGTTATAGAAAGTAAAGTTAAAAGGAATAACTGCTATAACTGTATTAATGTACAATTTTTATTTTAAATTTTTGTTTTTAATACTCCATCGATTTTCACATGGGGTGAAATTTGACCTTCAAAAAGAACGATGAAGTGATAATGACTAATTAATGATAGTGATAACTAATGATCATAGAATCTTTATTGTTGTTAAGTAATTTGAAATAATATAAGAACAAGCTGTTTATTTGTAATTACAAGACAGATGTAAAATGTTACCAACGATAGCATTGTTTGGTATCATTTTATGGTTTATGTTGGACAAAAGAATAACGAAAGTAAGTAATAAATGAGGTCATCGCAATGATTTTCAGCTTGCCTATTCCCTGCTGTGAATTGCTACCTCATTACAAATATTCATTTCGAATTATTCAAATTTTCAAATTGTGAATTAAAACTATAAAGCAATAGTGATAAAAATGAAGGATATAAGGGATTATTCAAATATTGTTGTAAAAGTTCTTACGCTTAAAGTCAATTTATCAAAAATGTCCTGCATAATATATTTGATTCTGAATTACAATTACAAATAATTATCATTGATAATATTAATAATAATATTTTATCATTTTTAAAACGTTTTCAAACTTATATAAATATATATATGTTCATATATGAAATAAGCTGTTTGAAAATAAATCTAATTCAGGAATAGTTAGATCCTTGCCTACTATTACATAAATTTATCTGTAACAGGGTTTAAATTTCTTATTTGTCAAGAATGCTAAATAAAAATTAAAATTAAAATAGCAATTTTAGCAATCAAAACATATGAAGTAACAATAAGCAACGTTTGGGATGTAACTAATTATTATTTTTAATTAACTATTAGATATTTGTTTTCATTGAAATAATATTAGCATTTATGGCTCTAATTTATTAATTTTCATGTAAAACCAACATTAATGCTAGTATCTTTCTTTTTTGACCAAAATTTGAGAAACGTAACGTAATATTATAAACTGATTTAGACAAATTTTAAATTAAAACATTTTTACATACATACACACATCGTTTTATTTCTACAATAATATGTTTCCATATAAATAAATATGTAATGAAGAAACCTTGACCTAATGACCTGAATTAATTGAATGATTTAATGCTCTTTACGTTGATTATATCATAATGAGTGTTCAAAGCACAACAGTTATAAGGCATTCCAATTCTTCTCAATCGTTGGAATTTATTAAACTTTTAAGCAAGCATTTTCAAATGACGTTAAGTTGTCACGTACAAGTATATGTGTTTATAATATGAAGAAATGACAAGGTAGAGGGCTAAACCATGCGGATAGAAGGCAAGCATAGAAAAGAAGATTAGCTTGAATAACTTCCATAAAATGCTCATAGAGGGATATTTGGCCTTAAAAATGCTTAAAGGTAAGAACCCAGAAGAGGCTATGAAGTGTATGAGGATACTGAATCTCATACTTGCTCTCAAGAAGATTGACCTCCATGTGAGACATGCAAATGTAGAAGTAGGACATACGCTTCATAATGTTGAACAGAAGAGTGAGCATATACTTTTCAGATTTCATGATGTTCTTTAGATACCGCGCACTCTTATCCACCACGAATGCGACATTTTTAAAGCAGGAAAAGCTCACAGCATGCATTTAGCAGTTACTGTACCTGTACCTTATCTTCAGACTAGGTACAATCTCGTACTCAACCTTTCAAAACGTATTGATAGCCCGGAAAGCGTTCTTGAATAACGAAATAGGAAGGAAAGCTCATCATGCAATGCTGTACAAGATGCACAGTAATGAATTAGCCTAGTGCCTAGTGAGCTCAAGGAACTAGCCTAAGACTGATATATTACTGATAATGGAAGAGAAGTCTTTTGATGGTTGGTTATGCCACGTCATAACTTCATGGTATGATGTTCTTTTTGCTTAGTATCTTTTAATGGATATTAGATTCCTTATATTTCGCTATCATTTGATGACAAATTATTACAGTAAGATTTTTGAGGTATCAAGATTTCACTTACGTACTGCAGTTTTGTTCAGAATTCTTTGTCGTTACTTCTAATAGCTATTGTTAGGTTTGTTTATTCCATTCTTACTTGTGCATACGTAAATTTCAACGTATGAATGAAATATTATGAATAACGGAACAAATGTTTGAACTTTCAAAATTTTTGCTTTTTTCGGAAATTTAATTACAGTCGAAAAAATTGGATACTAATTCGATTTGAAGATTTTTTTTTCAAAAAAAAAGTTTTTAGTAGATTCTAAATTGATTGCAACCATTCTGATTGTTGTTGGAATCAGATGAAGTATATTCATTTAAGTTTTTGATTCAACCCAATTAGCAACTTCTGGGGATAAGCAGTAACTTTTTCTACATTCAATATTTTCAAACAGTACATACTATACTAGTAGACAGGACGATTTTCAATTTTTTTTACCAGTTTCTTTCCAAAATACATTGCATCTACAATTTTATGCAATTATATATATACAATTAAAACAATTAGAATCCATGCTTTTGTACGTGATAGCAAAAGTATTTACTGAACAAAATTTTTCCTCAACTTTTTTAAATGACGTTTTTTTATTACAATAACGTGTAATGGACACGCAATGCTTAAAGATCTTCGTGTTTGAATTGAATGTTCACGTTTTTTTTTCAGTTTTCTATTCTTTGAATCTCGAAGATGATAACTGTTTATGGTTTACTTTTGTCCAAATTACTGTTGAAATATTGAACTACTTAAATTCTAAATTTTTAATAAATTTTTTACATAATTTTTTTGAATTTAGAAAAAATTTTTAATCATTAGTTCATGCTGCAAATAGTTATAAAGTTATTACTTTAAGATTCATAGCATGATAATTGTTTGTTTTTTAATGCTAATGAAGAATTACCTTTGACAAAGATTAATTTAAACAAGCATTTTATTATTTATATTAGATTATGTAATAATAGTTACACTCAACAACAACATTATTAACAAGTAATTAATTAATACAGTGGAATCATAATTATTTAATAATATTTATCAAATATTTATAACACCATTTTGAGAACTGAAAAATTTTCAACAAAAATCAGAATATTAAATAATTATGATTTCATTGTATAATTATTAAGATTTCAAAAAATTGCGCAATTTTAATAAATTGTATTTTAAGTATTTGGTATTATAAAAAGTAATAATGAGCAATCAATTTTGAAAGATTTGGGTGTTAATTAGTGCGAATATCGATTATATGCAAATCATTTAAGTATTACAATTTTATAACTAACAAAATGAAATTAATTTAAAATTTAACAGAATAACTTAAATTTTTATGCTTGTAAAATTTTGTCATAAAGTTTTAAAAATACAAATATGAAACAAAAAGTGGCAGTGAAAATATTCAATTATTACATATTTTTTACAACGAAAAATTAGCTGTGTGGTAGAATTTTAGAAGTATATCTTGGAAATTAATATAAAATTCGAAACAACTTTGCTTGTTAGTTATAATTCTTCAATTCATATTCTACTTCAATGCAAGAATTTAACTTTTTATCGGTATTTCTTGGTAGGTTAAAATTTAATTTGATTATACGATTGCCCACCTTGGTTCATCATTATCTGAATCACTAAGTGGTATATTTCCAGGTTGTGCTTTTATTACCCTTATTGTCGGTCTCATTCGACTACCTGCATAAACTATAGTACAAGCACTGTTAACATCACTTGTTGTTCGATTATGCGGTGCCATACTACCGTAATAACTTCCTAATACATTTGGTTCTCTCCAACCATAATTACCAGGTAATCGTACACCATAGTTGTTTTCTATAAATAAATAGACGTCAATTATAAATTATAATAAACTTAAGTTAAGCTTAAGTTGACTTAAGTTATAAATTATAATAAACAGAAAAAATCTACCCAATACATATTTTAAAGAGATTGAATATCAATTTATGTATCATTTTAGCGCCTTTTTGATGTGATAAAAGTAGATAAAAAGTTTTGTTTTTGTATGAAAAGAGTGAATTTTTGAATTTTTATTAAATTTATACCTTGTTATTCGTGTCTGATTATTATACTTTAAGTACTAGTTTTGGTTTTTATGAATTTTTATTTTTGATCCATACTTTGTTTTACTTTGCGTTTTGTACTGTACACTACTGCTCATTTGTGCTACTGAACACACTTTTGAGAGGTATGTAATTTAATTTATTCTATAAAATTTTTTAATATTTAAATTAAAAAGTTTATTAAATTTTGCTTACAAAATAAATTCAGATTACCTTGTCTATAAACGCGAAAATTATGTGTAGAATTTGGAGAAGGTGATGGTATATCAGCATTGATAGGATATCGAACCGATAATGGAACATCACTACCGCTGGTATCACCGGCACCATTACAACCACTAGCACTACCAGCAGTACCAATACTAATATCACTTTTTGACGTGTTTCGGTATGGATTTGAGTAGTAGTCTATCGAAGTGACTAAAGGTAGCGTGCTGATTAAAGGAAGTCTACGTTGACGTATAGCCCTTGGCATTGGTTCATCATCATCTGGGAGCACTTGTGGAGAAGATGGTCCTGAAGTGTTTTATTTTCATGCTTTCTTCTTTACTGAACAATATTTTTTAATAAATGTACCTGGATAAATTCTTTTATTCACGTGAGTTACATGAGATGATGATACTTGACGTGGCCTATTTGGTATATAACCATCAGCTATATGGCTTTCTTCATCATCATTTTCGTCATCAAACAGTAATCTACGTGATAATGAACGTGATGCGTATGAGTCACTTCGAGGTTCACTATTATCTCTGTAATTTATTTTTTTAACAATAAATTCTATAATAATTTTTTTGAACATAAAATAGCTAGCATAAATATTATATTGTTATTTTCTGCAACTTTTTTTTGTTAGACAAATTTGCATAATAAAAGAACCTTAAGGAATAGTTTGAACTTGGTCGAACTACTATATCAGAATCATTTTGAGAAGCCAAGTAATCTGGTCGTGGCGCTGAAAATTTGCATATTGAATGTGCAATAATTAAACTAAATAAATGTAAAATGAGTCATAAGCAACTAAATGAAAAATACTTAACACTTACTATTGACTTAAGAATTTTCAATTATTTTTGAATTGTTTTTGTCTTTATTTTAAATGATTTTTTAGCAAGCATTTGTTGTCTAATCATTGATAATTTTTGAATTTATGTTGTTTAATAGTGTTTTCTTTTCACAAAATCGCTCAAATTTGGTAGTTATAGATTAAAGTTAATGAATAACTACCGAATCTCTCTAAAGTTTATCTAAATACTATACTATGACCTCTCTAAAGTTCATCTAAATACTATACACTGACCTCTTTAAAGTTTACCTAAATACTACACTATAACATAATGTACAAGTTAATTTCTATAAATTGTTTATTGCAACTTTAATTATCAATTTCACTAGTTATATTTTTTGAAAACCTACGATAAGATGAGTACTCAGGCATATTTGAAGTACGCTGAGCATTACTTTGATAGTGAACCATTTCATTCCGTGTTCGTACTGATGGTAATAATTGTTGAGACTGTAATAAATTATAACATTATAATTATTATTACTCATTGTAATTATTATTATTAATCATTGAAAAAGAATTTTTTATTAATATTAGAATTTTTACTAATATTTAATATTTATGTGTTCACGTTATGTTTATATCTATGGAATAGATTAACATTTAATATTGGACAAAAAAATCACAAAAATTATTGATAAATTTTCCTTGAATATATTCTTTTCAAATCATTAATAACAACATTATATGTCATGTAAATAGATATTAAAAAATAGCAAATTTGGACAGTATGAAATTTGATTGATCAAAAGATCAGATCAAGATATGCGATAAATTTATAAAAATTTTGTTAAACATTTTCAAGACGTCTAATTATTGTAAATCAAAGTGCGCAAATATTAATCTCTTTTTACATAATGAAGAAATGAACAGATGAACTATGAAAGATATAATATGACCTTTAAAAAAGTATCTATTTGTTAATTATTTTTAAGACTATTGGTTTGATCGATAGCAATAAAAATATTTGCGTACATTTTTAATTAATTACTTATTTTGATTTTCTTTAATTGCTTAATTTAATTTTATCAACAATAAAACTTGGTTCAAACATTACTTTCAACTATTTTTGAAGCATAAAAGATTACAAATTCCTATATAATAATTAGTTGAAACTCAAAGCATATCACTTATTAAAAATAATTTGAAAGATAAAAAAAGTATGGGGGTGAAAGGTTAAAAGGTAATACAGTGTATAACAAAACAATTACAGCACATTACAAACGCTTGTTTATGTATTTTATAATTCACAGAAGAAGATAATATGCTTATCATAAACTTATTTTGGATGATTGGAAAGAATAAAAAATACACGAAAACTTCGTTAATACTGCGAAGCAAATTTAATAAGTAAAAATAATTAACTATGAGCTTATCAGATAGCTAATATTTTGGTCATATGCTAAATATTTTATTATATCTTCAAAAATTACTCAATTTATTTAAAAATAATTGTTTATATTTAATGAAGAGAGGTAAACTATCATAGATATATCAAAAGTAGTAGAAGCTGTTTTTCAGGTCCAAAGCTTAAAACCAGTATTACCTGTTGGTTGCGCGGTGGAGCATCATTACTGCGCATTTGAGAAATAATTCCTGAGGAATGCCGGGAACTAATTGCTTTCTCCCTGAAATATCTCAGCTTTTAACCAGTAAAAATAAAGCTTTTGGTTAATTATTTTAAAGATATTAAATTTTGCCAAAATACAAATATAAAATCATCCAGGTTATGCATACAATCTCTTACATCAATTATAAAAACTAATAATTTGTTTGCTGTAATATTTTTTACACTAATTTGCTTGCTTGCATATGCAAATTTCAATTCTAATTCAAAATTTAGCACAAAATGATTAAAAATTTTAAAAACTTGTCATCTGCCTATTTTTGCAATAAACCTTTACTTACCTAATTTAAAAATATCACATTTTATGCTATAATTTAAAATAAAGTTATTAAATTTCTGCTGGAAAAATTGTCACAGCAAGCATTATAAAAATTTATTGCAGCTATTAAAATTTTGAAAATATTAGAATTCACAAATTTTCTATAAATTTTCTCAATAATTAATATGATCCAATTTATTTGCTTATTAAAGCAAACATTTCTAAAAATCAAATTTATTCACGTGATTGCTGCTGGCGTTTTACTGCGTAATGTTGACGAACGCGAAGCATCTTCAAAACTATCTGTGCTTTTAACTGCTTTAATCGTATCAACCAAAGTTGAAAAAAGCGAAAATGGTTTCTGAAATACAAGAATTTCTATGAAATATTTCTTTCTTGTTTTTGGAAAGTATTATCTTTTAGAAAAAATTCAATTACAACGTTTGTTACGGGGAAACAAGCACGTTGAAAACGTGGAAGTTTGGAAAAAAATCGAGGAAAAATGTTAAACTGTATTAATTTATTATACAGTTTATTGTGTAGAATATTTTTTCTTTTTTTTGGAAAGTATTATCTTTTAGAAAAAATTCAATTACAACGTTTGTTACGGGGAAACAAGCACGTTCAAACTGGAAGTTTGGAAAAAAATAAAGGAAAAATGTTAAGTGATTAATAAACTGTATTAATTCATACAGTTTGTTATATAAAGTAATCATTAAGCAACAAAGTACTTTGTAATAAAAATAAAAAAATTAAAACTAATTACATAGGATGAGATTGTTAGCAAACCAGGGATGAATAAAAATAGATTAATTAAATTAATAAATCTCTGATCAAAATAATCATTGTGACTTAATAATTAATTACCAGTTGATTAGTTAATAAGACAAGACAAATAACAATGTATGCAACTCAATTTCAGTGCAATAATATTCAAAAACATCACAATTATAGGATAAAATGAGTTTTTTGTTAAAAATAAAAATAAAATTTATTTAAATAATTAAATAGGAAAACAATAGGATTTAATGTAGGATAGATGGATTCAGATATTTACAATATTCAAAAGTTATCTTCGTTAAACCTCATCTCCCCCATCGTTTGAGATAAGGAACGAATTATGATGTCTTTGCAAAATAATTGAGGCTCTTTGCTCTTTACTTTCAGCCAACTGAAATTTCTGCTTAAATTTGCATATTTTATTTTTAATTCAAATTTTTCGAACCCGCAAATGTGCTATTTTACTTGAAAATTTGCTTTTGCTTATTATATGATATAGTAATAAGAGCAATAATTTTTCACTTAATAAGTAATGGTATGAATAGTTAGGCTTGATAATATTGAAAATTATCAATCTTGTGATAATAATATTAAGATTGGAATCAGTTGTTGTAATTAAGCAAAAATAAAAATAGTAATACAAAGATACCTAGCAACGTTGAGTATGGCTGAGAGAATATATTAATCTCTTACAAGACTATTAATGAATGATTATGAAGCAATTATCATTTTAAAAACCAACTAATTATAATTGATAATTAAAATTACAAAAGTATTTATTTTACCTCAGCGCCAGACTTATTAGCTCGATAATTTTCCAAGATTAATAAACCAGCGTACAGCTTACCAACAGTTAATTTCTGATAGCAAAGTTCTGAAGTTTCAATATGATTTGTATAACTTAACTGTAAACTACTAATAAAGTAAAAAATATTTGCAGAATTCAAAATATTCGTAATCTTTAATTTAGATAGATTTCAAATTCTAGCAATTATTTTCAGATAAGTAAAAATTATGCAAATTTTTTAAGGAATTTGATGAGTAACGACAATTTTTAGGCTAACTTCAAATTATTTACTTTTCGTTTGTTTCTGAATTTTTTATTAAGCATATCATTCTTGCAAGTTTTATAATAAAACTAAAATATATAAATTACAATGAAAACTAATTTCATAGTTTGTTTATTATTCATATTAAACGTTAAATTTTGACTTTACGTGAAGCCTTCGATTTAAGCGGAATGGTAGATTATTCTTTGTAACAGATAATTTCTTCTTAGTAAAAAATAAATAAGTAAATGTTTTTTTTGCTCGAATTAAGAATTCATACATTTAATAATAAGTGATGTGATCAAGTAATTCCGATAAAGTAACCTGTGTTTGGTGGTACCACTAAGTCAATCATATTTTTTTTTGCCTTCAATGGCCAGATTTTACGTAAAGTTTGACGTAACTCTTCATCAGCTTCATCCATTTCTTCCACTTGAATTAAACAAATCACTGACTTTGACATTATTCAAAGCATTTGTTTTTAATTTTTTCAGTATTATAGAAATCTTTCAAAAAATTTAATTTAATAATATGTTTATTTTCCAATAATATTACAAATAATAATAATAATGTTACTCCTAATTTGCTTTCTTTCTTGAGAAGTTTGGACGTAAAGAATCAAGTTGTGATGATCAGCACTGAGAGTAGGTTATCCAAATATAATTATTATGCGGAAAGAAAACATATTATTAAATTAAAAATTTTCCTTTCATACAAATCTTTCAGAAGTAATTAAGAAGCTTGTAATTAATGTATCTGAAAATAATCATAAAATTTGAAAAAACGATTGATCTATAAATTAATACTAAATCAAATTAACTGAGATTACTTCTTGAACTATTCAAATTTTTGAAAGACAGTTGAATAAAAACTGCTTAATTTTGCAATCATAAATATATACCTGGTCTCATTTTAATGCTCAACGATTCACGTATAAGCGCAAAAAGTGTTGTCGTAAAATGAACTGTTCCATCTTCTGCTACAGGCATATTCATACGTATTAAATGTTTATAAGCTAGACGATATGGACATTTACGCCCAAAGCCTACTGGCGGTGCAATGTTGCGCAGCATTTCATACATATCTGTGTAATGAATTCGACCACTGAAAACTATTCATAATTTTTGTTGCATTATTAAAATTAAAAAATTTGCATGATTTTCTCTTCTTAAAAATTTATATAAATATTTTATTTAGTTTCGTTGCTAAAAAAGATATACACAACTTTCTGCATATGTATTTTTCATAATTTTCATGGTTTTTCTAATATTTTTTAACATAAAAATTTAATTTTATCAGATTTTTCAAACATAAATATGAATTTTTCAAATAAAGTTTTCTTGTTGAACCTAACAGTGACCAAATATCCCAAAGCTGCTATCGATGCTACTTCAAATATTTTTGAAATTGAGTTTTTTTTTTTCAAATCTTATCAATTAATTTTTTTTAATATATATTTTTCAAAAAATTTTTTTGAATATTCTCAGTTTTTTATTCATAAAAGCTCTTAAAATCCTAATTTAAAAATTACTTTTTATATTAGCACTAATTTTTTTCTATAATTAATTTGTAGCTTTTATTTCAAATATTTGTAGTACAAAAATTATTTGAATAATATTGAAGACATAATTAGCTGGAATTTTAATTTTGCTAGCAGATAAATATAATAATTGTTTAGCGAGAGTTAACGGGTAGTCAACTAACTTACGTGGCAGCGGGGTCATAGTCTGCCCAAACACGTACAAATTCATCTAAATGATGAGGTCCTAAAATTGAGCTATCACGTGTTAAATAATCAAAGTTATCCATAATTACGGCAACGAATAAATTCAGCATCTGAAACTGTCATTAGAAATAATTGTTTATTATAAGCAAAATGAATTAAATCTTCTAATCATAAGTTTAGCTAAGAAATATATTGATTATTTTTCAAAAATTTAAATAGTAATATGAATTACTTATTACTGATTTTATTAGTAATCCCTCTAACTTTGCATACTTTTATTGAAATCAGAAGAGTAACCACATAATCTAAACTTGGAGCAAAGCTTAACTATTACTTACTATTTTTATAAATTTAGAACCAATGCTTAGGATTTAACTAACTGATAATTGTTGTGTATCTCAGTTAACGCAAATTTGAAGCAAATTAATCTAGTCCTCATAAAACCGAAAACTGTCCTAGTAAATCAAAGTTTGTAGATGTTTGTTACTTAGACTGAAGTGATTCGATGCCACGATTCTTTCTTAATCGTGAGATACTTCACGCTATTTTAAACATTATTATTATTAATATTAGTAATAATGATAAATAAATAAATAAATAGTTTGATAAATAACAAACCAGAAATGAAGAAAGAAAGACAAATGTAGTGAAATATACGTAAGACATTTGAGTTCCACACGTTGGCCCTTTAGCTTCATTAATTTCAAATGAATTAGGCTTAGCGCAATATTTTCCTGCCGTACATGCCATCATTATATCTTGCCAGGATTCACCTGTTGAGCATCTATAATAAGATTAATTAAATTATTCACTGGAAATAGAAAGAATATAATTAGCACTCAGCTGGAGAAAATAATTTATAATAAACAGTCAAACTGTTGGCTGGTTATTAATTAATAATTTTTATAATAGACAAGAAACTGTGGAGATCAGTGTTTCGATTTTGCTTCATTGATTCTGGTGCTGGAACGCATTCCCGCATTCTGGCAGTACTTGTCCCGCGCTCAAATTTGTTGTACTCATCGTTTTCGCTTCGTCCTCGTGGAATCCATATCGACTATCAAAGGAGATGTTTTCGAGCGTTTTCTTGAGCACTATAGACTGAATGTATGCCTCGACGTGATCAGATATACTGATCTCCTTCGCATAGCGTTTTGTGGAAGTTCGTTACAATCCCATCCCAGGTCATCATCACATACGGAATTATTTTGGTCCTGCATTTCATCTCTGATGCAAATCCATTAGCAAGTAGGTCATATTTGCGTTTGGTATCGGGCTCGACTACTATAAAACTGTCCTGACCAATGATGTCAACCTCTGTCAGGAGTATTTTGCCACACCTCGGTGTTAATGGCTGACTTTGCTGAATTTATTTCTAGTCCTACCATGTCAAGAAACCTTTCAACTTCTTCTGCCATAGATTTCATGATACAGTTATGTAACTTTCATCGATCGCAAAGATTTTGAGATCATCTACAAGCAGCAAATGATTCGTAATGTGCATTGCTTGATAAAGTATCCAGTATCAGAAAGCATCAGAGGGTAAAGCATCATGCACTTCATGATCTGGAACGGATTCTTCCAGATATTTGTCGTGCCGGATATCGTCATTCTTTTCCAGTTCCACAATGTTTATAATAGTATGCTATTTTAGCAATAAATAATTTTTTAAGTCTTCGTAATTGAGTAGTAATTGCACAAATCTTATATTCTTAAATATACATGAAAATTTACAGTTATGTAACTTTCACGACAAATTAAAAATTAGCAAAAATATTAAAATTATTGAAAAGTTTGAATTAAATAAAAATTTATGTTTAGAAAAATTGTTATTTAATATTTATAACAAAATTATTATTTAGTGAAAGCAAAATTTAAAATGCATGAATTTTGGTATGCAAAATTTGTTACAAATGCAAATAAGTCCACAAAAATATTAATAATTCTTTAATACATACCGAAAAAGTAAAACAATTGAGTTGAAAAACGACTGAAAATTATTGTGTCTGTTATATTCTGTAGTCGCATCTAACCAAATATTACCAAATACCTTTAAAATTTGCATAAAACTTTACAATTAAATTTTAATATTGACGAAAAATTATTCGTTTTATATATAATATTATATAATTTTTTACTGAATATTTTTAAGTTTATACAAATTTAAATATGAAAAATAAGTCAAAAACTTAAATGTAAAAATAAAGAACCTTTTTTATTATCATAAAAAAGATATTGCCATTGCATTTCAATGAAATATTTTTAATATTTAAATCATATTAAAGCACAAATAATATTAACACAAAAACTAATAAAAGGTAACAAAATTAATCGCTGTTATAAAACTAATAAATGAAAAAGAATGAACGATTCAACGGAAGGACTTGTTAGCTAGCACTTTTTTTTTAAATTAAAAAAATTAATTAATTAAAAAAATAAAAAATAAATATTTGAATGTAAAATTTTATTCAACAAGTTTATGATTACCTGCATTCCAACGATAGCATAGATAAAAAATAGCATTCCAATTAATAAACAAACATATGGTAAAGCCTAAATATTTATTACTTATAAATAAAGTACTGTAATAAAAGTTAGATAGTTACTTGTGAAGAATTAATGGATTTTAATCAAATTTTTCAAATTGTTAAGAGATAACTTTGCAACTTAAATAAAAATTAAAATGATGAACTGTTTTAGGAACTGTCATAACTATCAAATAATTTAGGAAGCAAATTAAAGTTTGTTGGAAATTAAAAGCGAATTCTTTTATTCAACCTTTTGTGTAACGAAAATTTGCATAAAGAAATGTCAGTATAAGTAAGTTATGCTATGATCTGCAAAGTAAAAGGTTAATTTTTATGTAAGTATAGTTTAAATTCTGCTGGAAAGTATTAAAATTTGTTAATTTAAAAGTAAATTGATATACTTTAAAAGATTGAACAAATGTCCAGAGTAATATTCGAATAGTATATCCTTGCTGTAAAAGACGAATTAGACGTGCAGCTCGGAAAAGACGTAAAAATCCAAGTGAAACAAAATGACCTCCGAATTCTGTCACTAATGCATCAGTAATTGAACCAACTACAGTAATAAAATCAAATCGATTCCAACCATCACGGAAATAATTCTAAAAATTACTATCATGAGTTCGAATACAATGAAAAATAATCGTTTGAGTAATTATCAGTTTGGAAAATATCAAACAATAAAGATTAGCACTGTCATTTTAAGCAATAACTAATGCAAAGCTAATTTGTAAAGTCAATTAAAAGCTGAGTAATGTGATTGCTGTTAAATAATAATACATAATTTGAAAATAATTAAGCAGTTTTCAAATAAAACTGAAATATATAACATAATTTAACTTCATAATTTAAATTGATATCAAACTCTCCTTTACAAATTAGCAACACTTCATAAAAAATTATGTAAAATAAAAACAAAGCCTATACAAATTGCTTTACATCTCAGAAAGCCTATAACTTAAGCCTATAACTTAAGCTTATAACTTAAGCCTATCACTTAAGCCTATAACGGTCTTAAATATACTCACCCTTACGCCAAATGCCAATATTTTCAAGATTGATTCAACGGTAAATACTGCAGTTAGTGCTGTATTAAAGAATCGAAGAATTTTTTCGTAAAATTCGGAATTTCCATGAAACTGTAACAAGTTTTTCCCGCTTAATATAAAAATTGCTAGTAAATAATTTAAAAAATTCCACAAAATATTTGAAAGTTCTATGGAAAATTTTTGATTACTGGTAAAGATTTTGTCAAGTTAGATTCTTTTTTTGATACAAAGACCAAAGAAGCAATAAAATTGAAACTATTTTGTATTATATTTAAAGGATTTGCAACATTTTGATAAATTATCATCATGTTATTGATTATAAATAAAGATTACAGTAATAACCTTCATCATTAATATAATTGTATTAAAACAAATCATTGCCATAATGAAATATTCAAATGGTGTAGAAGTAACTAATCTCCAGATTCGATATTTCATTGAATTTTTATCTTCTGGCATAAACAATGATCTTGGACGAGCATTTAGTGCAAAATCAATGCATTGTTTCTAAAGTGAACAATTTTTCATTCAATTTGATATTTGATCAAAAAAAATACGTGAAACTGACTTCATCCTCACGTGCATTTTTATCATTTCAAGTTTTTGCAAACTTTGTGCAATACAAATGTTAAAGAATTACTTTTCACAAGTAAATTTTGCATATCATTAAGTCAAGAAGTATGAAAATTGTTCGATTTAGTACGTGTAATTAGTAGCTAATAACATTTATTGATCAAATCTACAAGATTTATCAATTAATTTAGGAATTTAATTTGTAGTTAAATTTAATTGAGAAACTAATTCGTGCGTTTGACGTTGAAAAGTTGTATTAAATACAAAGAAATTTGATTAATTATGAAAACAGGTTAAATAATTAGTAAATTGATCAACTTACTTGATTTTTATCTAGATCACCTTCAGATAATTCAGCCTCTCCTTGCTCTTGAAATGTAATTATAATTAACGCAACGAAAATATTGACGAAAAAAAATGGAAATACGATGAAAAACATCACATAAAATAATGCCATCTGTAAAAATTTACATAAATTTATAATTTGAGCATTATTATGAATTCAAATTAAGAGTTACTGCAATGAAAAATATGCAATTAAGCGTAGAAATTAAAAATATACAAATAGTTGATGCATGTATTGACGTACGTGGAAGTTAGCTATTTGCATATTTTTTAGTTTACAAATATTTTGTTTCAAATTACGAATGTTTTTTCAAGTAAAACATTATGTTGAAGCAAGAAATAAATGAATAAATTTAGAATTATTAATTGTTTAAACTTATAGCTTAGGTATTATATTGTGAAACAATAATTTACTTATTGCAAACAAATATTCTTTCAATTAGAAATTTATAATTATAAGTATCAGTAATTCATTTAGGTATCAGTTATCAAGTTGCGCATTGCTAAGAATTTAAATTTCTCAAATAACTTCAAATTAGCTTTGCAAGAATATTATAGCTACAGTAATAGAAAACTTCTAAAGTAAAGTTTATTGCAAATATATCAATTTTCAGACCTCAACTCTATAAAACGGTAAAGGTCCTTCATCTTCTTCGGTGGTATCCATCGAATTTTGCCTAATTCCAGGCCAACCCTCACCTGTAGTAACGACAAATAATGTCAGCATTGCATTAATTGTGTTATCATAATTAAATGGACGTAAGCGCCATTCACGTGTTTCAACGCGTGGAGCGTCATCCTGCAAACATGCGGTTTTTTTTTTTGAAATTATGCAAATTTTTTCAGCAATTATCTTATAAAATTGACTTTAATTTGTATCATTTATAAAAGAAATAACCCGTCATCAAAAAACACTTTCATATCTTCACTTTGGAAAACTGCTAGCTTTCTGATTTACCATGCTACCTAGACAAATCCTGCGATATGCTATTTGGTCTATTATTATCGATATAGCGCTGATTGCAATTGCTAAAAAGTATATGTTATTCTAACTTAAACAAACTATCTAAATCTAATTTGCATTAATAATCTTTTTTACTTTTAATTATTTTGCAAATTCAAAACAATTTATTGCTTTTGAAATAAGATTATTAATTATTAGTTACTGATGTGATTGCTGCATGCTTTATTATTATTGACATAATTTTAATCTTTTAGAAAGTGTTTGTTTTTTTGATACATTAAAAACAAAATTTTATATGGAAATAATTTTGAACAATTAAAACAAAATTAATAGCTAACATTTACTTAAATAAATGATAAATTTCACGTAAATTCAAGTAAATTCAAATTCGAAAAATTTTGAAAATGCTTAAAGTACTGAAACTTTTTGAAGGTTTGCTAAGAATGAAATCACAGTATTGTATGCAACAATGAAACTTGGAATACCACTTATCATATCAGAAATTATGCTAATGACTATTATCTATCCTGATGAACTTTTTGAATTCCTTATGAATTATGGTGAATTACTGAACAGAATCTATGAGACAGAAGAATCGGAGCAAAATTTTTCAAACGTGCATCTTGCCCATGTCATAAATTCTCACGGAGACGTTGGAAATAACGTAGCAAATCGAATACGACATAGAACACCTATTTATGCTTCAGCTTATTAGACTAACTGCTTTCCTTTTTTGTATATTTTTGTAATTGTGTATAAAATTTTGAGATAATTTTTGTTCGATTAATTTTTTTTTTCTTTAAATCATAAATGCTAAGATATGATACACTGTTTGCAGTAAATAATAGATAGCAAAGAAATACAGTACCTATTTGTGTTTTAACTCAATTATCAATTAAAAGTATTTAAATACAAATTTGATTGTAAGAGAATAATTTTACTAATTTGCTATAAAATTAGTGCTGTAGATATCAAAATTTTCAAAGATTTTGACAAATAATTTAAAAAGTAATTAAAAATTTATGCCGTGAAAAGTACGTATACTTACGGGACTTTCAAAAACAAAATACTGTCCGTGACATTCTTGAGCGAAGCGTTTAGTTTTATCAGTGCAGTAAAAAAATTTGCCTTTGAAAAGTTGAACAGCAATAACGCCAAAAATAAATTGAAATAACATATAAACAATTAATATGTTAAAAACGTTTTTCAACGAATTAACCACACAATCGAATACTGCCTGTAAATAATACTTTTGTATTTTATAAACATATTAATAAATAAAATTAATTAAGTTAATAAATAATATTCCTTTTGTTTTGTACGTTTTGTTGAAACATTTTCAATATTTATCGAGTTTTGGTATGAAAAATACGAAGTTTAGTTTATACTTAACGTCATCAAGTGATTTGACGTTTGATTTGAATTCTCCACAAAAATTAAATCCATAATTTTAATTTAAAAAGATAATGTCATTTTGTCTCCAACTTTTTACTTGTAAAGATTTAATATTCTTGATCAAAAGTTACAAACTATTATAAATTGCTTTACATATTTCCTGATGATTAAGCACAGGTAATCAAAATAAAAATTTAACCATGGTTCTTTACAGTTATTAATAGTATTATGTGAAATAGTAATATCCATCCGCGCATCTTTCACACAAAAGATAGAAAGTTAAATTTTATACAGTTGTAATCGATCTCATTTTTATTGCAATAATCTCATGACTTTTTATTTATTTAGCGTACGTAACAAAAGCTGTTTTTTATAACGATTAATTTAAATTTGAAAAGTCAGTCTTAAAAGTATCAAAAATAAATTCAAAACCTTTAGTTTTGGTATCCTTTTGATTGTTTTCAGAGGTCTGAGCACACGTAGTACCCTCAGTGATTTGATTGTATTCAAATTTTTGCCAGCAGATCCTTCAGCTCCACTAAATCAAACATTCTATACTTTTTCATCAATTTTCATTTAAAATTGTTATAAACAAAACAAAACAATTCAAATTTCTGTACTCGTTATTATTTCAAAGAATAAAAATATACACTAATTCAAACTTTTCAGAAAGATTCTAAAACTTTACGCAAATGAGAAGGCCACAAGCGCACAGAAGACGACGATACCATCCAATAAATTCCAAAAATCTCTGCAGTATGAGCCCGGATGCAACAGTACTCCTTGGTCTATCAACTGAAACAATTGTCAGTTTTTTATTTCTGATTTGTTTACAAAATTTTAAATTCAAATTTCAGTTTTGGAGAAATTCTTTAAAAAAAATACCCATTACTGAAATAAAAATTTTCATTTCTCATTTATGAAAATTGTCAAAATATTAATTCAAAAAACTTATATGCAAATTTATAACATTCAAAATTTATTACTTAAATATAACTGACCAGAATCAAATGACCAAAATGAAAATATGCTTTAAATTTTAATTAAAATGTAATATTTTACGAAAAAATGTATATTGTAATAATAATTTTAAAAATGTAATATAAATATAATATTTTACAAAAAGTTTACAAAAAACAAATAAATTTAAAATTAATATAAAAAAACTATTGTTATTTTAGATTTTCATATTCTAGGTATAGAAAAATGGTTAATTTTCAATTCCTCAATGACGATAAAATTTAATTTAGTGAAGTAATTTTCATTTTAATTATTAGATGATATATTTAACGATTTGAAACATTAAATGTCCACGTTATTTTTTTTAGTTTTCACTTAAATTACAACTTCCAGATACAAATAAAAATCATCATCATTTACTAATTTACTGAAAAGTGTTAAAATATTAATTAGCTAAAGATAAGATTCTGTATTACTTTAAGGCACATCTCGAAAGCAAAAACACCCGTGAAGCAGTAATCCATATATTGCAGCACTTTATTCCTCGGAGCATCTTCATCTACTGGGTCTTCTGCGGAAAGTGCTATGCTGGAGAAGCAGATCACTCCCATAACAAACATTTCAAAGTACTTGGTTGATACTACTGAATGCACCAGAACTCGGAATCTGCCCAAAAATATAGAGTAAATTTCGAGTTAAAATTCCTGATAGAAAATCAATGATTTGCTCCAAATGATTAAATCTACTTTTCCAGTAAGGAAATATCGAAAACAAATATTTGATATATTTCAATTTGACAAATATTGCTTGCTATAACTTTAAAGTTTTCATACTGAAATTAATGTCAAAATAAATAAAAGTTACAGAATTAATGCTTCAAGCAACCTGAAATATTATTGAAAAATTAGTAAAAATATAAATTTCTCAAAATAAAAGTAGTAAAAAAAGTTTGACTTACAGTTATTACTTACTTAAACTAATGATA